CTAAGATTACGAATAATGCTACCAATAGTAGTGATACGACAGTACTGCTACTACTGCTGCTACTGCTGCTACTACTACTACTACTACTACTAGTATCACTACGACTACTACGACTACTACGACCACTAGTACTTTTACTACTACTACTACTACTACTACTACTGCTGCTGCTGCTGCTACTACTGCTACTACTGCTGCTGCTACTACTACTACTACTACCACAAATATACATAATCCTAGTTTGGTAGTACTGTTAAAGTTCTGGGTATTGAAATTTGGCGACCTGTGCGACAGAAAACAGCCCAGAGTAGGTACGGAAATTCGGAATTTGTTCGTTTCAAGTTCCGGCTCTGGGGTTCAAATTTCAGGGGTTTAGGGTTTTAAAGTTTCGGGGTGGAGGGTTAACGGTTTGGGAACCAATTGAGGATCTCGTTACGGGCGGAATATATGAGAGCATGCTGTGAGGGTTTGAGGGATACTTGGAGGTTGAGGGGACAACATGAGGCGCTTGGCGCTTCCAATTGGCTTGATATCTTACTTGCAAGTACTTACTCAGTCCCTGGACTTGGGTTCTTGAAGTAGTCTTGCGCTTGAAGGAATAACTACCCGCGAGATCCCTCTGTGCTCCTGGTATACCCCGCAAACTTCAAACCAAGTCGATTATTTACACTGCTGTTGTAACTCTTACTTCAAGAAACCGTGCTGGACACCTGTAGAAGGACATTTTTCAAGGATTATAGATCTTTTCCATACGGGGTCCTTGATGCAAATATACTAGATAAGAGCCCAAAACTCTATTCTAATGCTAAGGCCCCTTGATCAAGGCTCCGCTATAGACCCCTGATTGGCAGCAATGCAGGGGCCTTATCAACCGGTTTTTGGGGTATATTATAATAGTGTCTGAGAACCCTAAGTCATTCTGGCTGCTGTATCCCCCTGTTTCTATCACAGAGGAGAGTGTACTACCTTAAGCCACTAAACCCGCCCCACACCCCTTGGCCCCAAAATCGATCGGACAATTTTGCAAGCGGCTCAATGGATGGCGACTAAGCCTTGCAGGGTTTACGGCTTTCGGTTCGGGGGTCTACCTAGACTCCTAGAACCTCTTTGAGCATCCAGGATACGCCTTAGTGCATTAATATATATATATATGTATACATCTTAGTCAAGCATAGAGACCCTGCAAGCGAAGTAAACTGCTGTAGGTTAAGGTAAGGGTTGAGGGCTTTGGGCTCAGGCATCAGGAAAGCCAGGGTGGTTTTGCAGCCTTATAGGTACTTAGTAGCCCTAAACCCTAAACCCTAAAACCCTAAAGCCCTAAACCCTAAACCCCTAAACCCCCTAAACCCTAAACCCCAACCCCTAAATCCCTAAATCCCTAAACCCTACTTGGAGTCAATGGAGCCCAGAAGTTCGGAAACAAGTCTAGACCGAACGGCTGATGATATAACTCCTGCACTACCCATCATAAGGAATATACCATAATTCTCATAGTTTAGGGTCCTTCAGGTAATGCAGGATTTATATCATCCACAGAAGGCCCTGTCTGAACCCGATCACCTCAGTCGCCTAAGCCTGAGCACTTCCTAAATCCCGAAATGGGGTTACTTTGAGGGGTTCCTTGAAGAGCTTTATAAGGGTACTATTATAAGGGTTTGGTGCTTAAGAGTCCTTCCTAAATCCAAATCCAACAGGTTACGTCATTTTCTCAGAAGAGCAGCTGCCGGAAAATATTTTCACCCCTGCGCGGGCCTCATGGAGGCTTTCTGCCGTGATGTCTAGGATGCCCAGTACCCTTATTCCCTTTTTGTAGTCCTAGGTTCCTTATAAAGTTAATCAATACCAGAAAGGGACCCTTTTTATTACTAGGTTACTGGGCATCCTAGATGTAGAGTTTAGGGATGTTTTGGGTTTAGGGGTTGACACGGTCAAAACTAGCAGCGAAAAGCCTGTAATATCTCCAGTTTGTGGATCAAACAGGCTCCCACTCCTTCAACCCGTAAGGGTAAAGATCTTTGAAAAGAGGGTTCTTTAAAGGGTTCCCTTTCCGGGATCTATAATGGGATTCCTTAGAGGGTTCTTTGACGGATTCCTTTTCCGGGATCGATCAGGTTTCTGTAGTGGGATTCTTTTGCTTTCTACTGAAAGCGCCAACCATTGAAATCGAGAGTACTCTATGACTGGCTATGTTCGGGTTCCATGGTCGGGTCGAGAAGGTGAGATTTTGCTTTCCGGGTTAGGGTGCCATGATTTAGACGTCTTAGAGACCAGTGTTTTGGGTCGAGGGCTGATATGATATGCACTAGCGAAAGTCAAGTTCCAGCGGCCAGAAGTGCAAGCGAGGTCAGTTTGACCTAGTAGTAGAGTAGATAACTTTTAACATTTTTGGGTGTATTATACAATGTATAAAAGTTTAACTTTTAGGAGGGGTCCGGAAGTCAGCGAAGAATAAGGAACTGCTAGGCCCCGGAAAAGTCTCTGGTGGCAGCAGCTGCTGCAAGTCTGCAAGAGGATACTGGGATACTTGCTGGTTCAGTCGTTGATCTTAGGGTTTAGAGTGTAGGGTTCAGGGTTTATGGGTTTATCTCGTTACTTTGTAATCTAAGCCGAAAACAAGCGTAAACCCGACACACTAAACCCTAAACCCCGAAATCTACTCAGGTCAACCATTCAATCGAGAAGGAGGACCGTGGGACCTGCTTTGCCGACGGATGAAGGCTGAGTTCAGCGAAGTTGGTAGCCTTTAAAACTTGAAACATAAGCCCGAAGCCCTAAATGCACTAAAGCCCGAAAACCTGAAACCCTATACGCCCGAGGAATATCCCTCAAGTTATGATCGGCACCCTAATCAGATCTACAGTAGAAGCCCAAAAGTTGGAAACCCTATAGCCCCAATCCTTAAGAGTAATGTATAGGGAATCCCAGCACTATTTGGCCTTATTCAGGTTTCCAACTTTCTGGGGTTTACTGTAAGGTATATTCCTTATTTAAAGGGGGGGTGGAGTCTCGGGTGCTAGGCCTTTTGGAGTATGCTGATCTCTACATTAACAAAAACTTACCCTCGGAAAGCCAGGAGTGATGGGCAGGTAGGCTCTCCTAGGTGTCTCATGGGGGTATTAAGAGCTTAGGGCTTAGGGTAACCTTACCATATACCCTCCTAGATACTAATAAATAGTACTCATCGTAGCTACTATCCGAAACCCACACAACTATTCTGAGAAACCCCAACCTAGCGACTCCAAAACCCCTTGATTGAGTCGAGGAATATACCTTACAGCTTGGTAGGGTTCCTATATTATAGTTTAAGTTAAGGCATATTCCTTACTTAAGGGGTTTCAGACCCTCTGGGAACATACATAAACCCCAAACCCGAGGTGCACTACACTTTAGAAAAGCTGAAGCCCTGAACTCTAAAGCCCTTTCAAAAAGCCTAAACACTCACCCGTACTTGGCGGGGCAGGGGACTTAGTAAGTGTGGTTATAAGTAGAAATAAAAAGAACACTAAATGGAGTTACCCCAATTATAACCCTACTTATAACCCGACTTACTAAGTCCCCCTGCCCCTCCAAGTAAGACCCTAAGACCCTAAACCCTAAACCCATTACCAATAGATCCTTAAAGGAACCCTTAAGGATCCCCCTGCCCCTGAAACGACTCTCCGAAATCCAAGCATCCGAGTACTGGGTCCTTTGTATCCTGAAGTTCAGATCTGATATGAAGACTTTGCCCTTCCTCTAAGGGTTTAGGGTTTAGGGGGTTCCTTTAAAGAGGTTCCATGAAGGTTTCCGGGGTGCCAAGAAGGGTTCGTTTAAGGGTTCCATAAGGGTTTAGGATATTTCGAGTATAGAACGATCCAAGTACCCATATAGTGCATACTTTTTCTTGCATGGTAGGGTAGGGTCTACATTAGGGATGGCTTGCAACCGGAAGCGCTCAAGCTTTAGACTTCTGTACAGGGATTGGTTTCGAGTTTAGTGCGTCGTTTTCTGCGTGCAACATGCATGCCGTAGACGGGTAGTTCTGTGAAGCAAGGCCTTTTTTCAAGTGCCAAAAAATAGTATGGCACCCTTATGAAAAGGACTTTAAAAAGGGACCCTGATTTAGAGAATTACCGACACACACACACACAAGAAAACCTTTTGCTCAAGCCGTGCCACCACAAGTACTTGCGACCAGGGCGTGTTGTTCTGTGGGGCAGCTGTAGGGTTTGGAGTTATCAGTGGGTTCTAGAGTTTATAGGGTTCGAGTCATAAGTTTTACGGCTTAAGGCAGAAGTTGCTAGACGATCCAGCCAGGCAGCAGCTTGGCTCCGTTCCGCATGCAAGCGAGGTAAAAAAAGGTGTGCGACACCGGGGCGTGCACTTCGCATTGATGGAGCTTCTTGATCTTGGTATGTTAAAACGGCGGAAGTGTAGAATATAATCGTAAAGCCTCTGCGAGGTTCTGCAGGCAACTCCGCACCCGCAGCAAAATCAAAAGCCTCATAAACCCTAAACTCCAAACCCTACAAAATCCAAGAGGTACAGTCCCATTAGCGCAGAGTCAAACCCGCAGAATAGGTACTGTAGGGCCCGTGAAGTATAGAGTAGTGCCCTTGACCCTAAACCAAACCCTGTAAAATCCTTCTGAACTCTGTGCAGCCCTTCAAGACCAAGGACCCTTACCACACCCGAAACCTTAATGCGCCCTACCGAGGCAATCCCAAATCCTGAAACCCCACATCCCAGAGCCTCCAAATCCCCTTAACTAAGGAATATGCCTTAAATCTAATTAGGGTTCCCCTAAACCCTAAACCCCAACTCTTATTATAACTTAAGGTATATTCCTTACTGAAGGGGTTTTGGAGGCTCTGGGTCCTAAGCCCTCCCAACCTAACCTTGGGGCTTCGGGGGGTTTAGGTCTCAGGGGTTTAGGGCTTACATAGGGCTTCAGGGTCTTAGGGTCTGAGGGTTTAGGGGTCAACCTAACTTAAAAAAAGACCCTTCTATAACCTGCCTAGGTCGGCCAAGTGCTATGTGCAACCCGAACTCCGCGCTGCCGAGAGCCTGGAAGTTGAAGCGACAATGCCCTGAGGATCTTTCATGGTGTAGGGAAGTCTAGGGGCTCCTTTTAAGGGCACTATAGGGTTCTAAAAAAAAAAAAAAAAGGGGTCCTTAAAGGGATCTATAAGGGGGTCTATAATGGAGGATCATGGTGTACTAGGATGCGCAGTAGTACCCTTATTCCCTTTTTGTAGCCCTAGGTTCCTTATAAAGTTCCCCAATACCAAAAAGGGAGCCCCTTTTATTCCTAGATTACTGGGCATCCGAGTGTAGGCAAGTCTGGGAGTTTCGGAAAAGGACTAGGACCTGGAGTAGGCCCTTATTCCCTTTCTGTGGGGTTCAGGTTCCCTTATAAGCCCCGCTAAACCAAAAAGGGCACCTTTTTTTATTCCTAGGTTACTCTTGGGTCTAAAGGATTCCAGAAGATAGGTGGAGTCCTCAAATCGGTTCATGATGACAGACCCTGAGTAAGAAGCCCCCTACATCTGCGTCTGTCGCGGAAAGCTACAGGCCGCGAATTCGCGTGTGTCAAGTACTAGCTGCAAGCTTGAGCCTGTATCTCCTGCCTGAATTCGACGCTGCAACACATGATTGCAGCGTTGTGTGATTATTTTTGGCTGGATCCGACATCCCACGGCCGTCTGCTGCATTAACTACTTGATGAAGAAGTTGAACACATCTCGAACTCAAAGCATCCGTGCTAGTTGTGGCGGCCCGAATATGCAGTAAGATTCATCCATGAGGTCTTCATTATTCATTCTGGAAAGAGGAGATAAACCAAGCATCAGGAAGCACTGTTTTGTTTTATGGCCCTACCTAACTTGGGCCTCTCATGAAATAGGATCATTTTAGGGTTCCTTAATGTTAAGGCTCTGAAGTAAAGCGGTGGTATGACTCTTGTCATGACCTACCGACTAAACCTCCGATCCTTCTCAAGCTTTGCCCGCTTATCCTGAGCGCAGCCGTATGAACCAGAGAAGAAGCACAAACTCAAGTATTTCCGAACCAAGGCATGTACAAACTACTCCTATTCCTAAACCCCCCAACTCTGTGCTAACCCTTGCCTGGACCCCAAAAAGTATGTAGAATAATAGCCTTTTATAGGCTTTGGGCCATTATTACCTACTTTTGGGGGGTGTGAATACCATCAGCCTTACCCCCAGTGGAGTATCTCCCCGGGGATGCGCGACGAACTGCAGCACGTGGCCCGGGTCCACAACAGCGGACACGGCAGCGGAGGAAGGTTGGTTTTGGGAGTTTAGGGTTCAGAGTTATGGCGTTTTGGAAGCTGGAGGTACCATAATTCCCCTCAGAACTGCAGAGCAAAAGGTACCCGACCTATCTCTGGCCCCTTACAATATGATCATAGGGTAGAACGATATCCTGGGCCTGGCCCCTCAACGTGTAGGGAAGTGGAGCTACGGTCTACCACGCCTCCGTTGCAAGGTGCATTTAAGGTTCCAGCTCATTAGGAATTTAGGAGTCTTGTGATTCGACTTGCCTTGGCAGTTCTCTACTACGAAGGGCTGCCCACCGGGCTGTCGAAGACGTCGGTCAACGAAGGTTGCACTGTGCAAGCACACCCTGTGGCCAAACATCAGAGCGAAAGGACCCTCAGCTTCCCTGCGTGCCCTTAAACCCTGCAGTAGAAGCTAGAAAGTTGGAACGTTATTATCCAGGTGCCCGTTAAGGTAAAGTTACTACCTACTACATACTACCTGCCCTTAGGGGAACGTTATTCTAGCTATTAAGGCCCCCATAGTACTATAAGCCGTTATGCTGGAACCCTCAAATTGCAGGAGCCCTGCAAAACATCCCTGAAAAAGAATCCTCTTCTAATTGAAAAGGCCTCCAGGGTACTACAGAGCTCTTACGATCGAACCCTTGAAGGCACAAACAAGGAACCCTTATATAGACCCCCTTACAAGGGTGCATAGTACTATAGACCCCTTCTTACTTCTAGAAGCCTAGAACGAGCCCTGAAGAACGAAGCCTTACAAAGGAGCCCTGAAAAAGGAACGCTGTTGAAATGGCACTATGAAGGCCCGGAGTTTGCTACCACATCTTCTCTGAACAGAGGCCGATGATATGATGTTTCCTGTCAGAGAGCTTTCTGGCGATTTAGGGTTTAGGCTTGAGGTTGTAGGGTTACGAATCTCCAATCACTTTTCTGCATCGATGCTGAGTTTTTTTGCACATCTTTTCCCTGGTGGAGTGGTGTGATGTTAGTGTCCTTTGTAGACGTTCACGACTTGCACAGGGCATTGATGCTAGTTTTTCTTCTCGGGCTCGTTCACGACATGAGCCCATTGTGGGCTCGAAACAGGCTCAGGCATCCTTCCGTGACATGTGAAAATTTCTCAAAATTATGGCTCTTTTTGGGTCCTATTCATACGGGAGCCGCCTTTAGAACGGGGCCCTACTTTGGAGAACTGGCCATGTGTTTTGATTCGAAAGCAGCCATACTCGTAACCAGGGTTGATGTGTTCTGGGTTGAGAGGGGACTGTTGTGGCCTGTGAACATAGTCATAGTTACTCCCGGGCACTCTACACCATCACAGCTATTTCAGGAAATTTTCAATATGATGGGTCCAACACACGCCCCAACAGTCCTTGCAGTTTGGATTAGGGCTTCAGAGTCTGAACTATTTGCATTCTGCTGCCGCCCTACCTCAAGTATTCTGTGTCTGTAAAGGGGACCTACTTTTAGTCTATGTGGAGAGTGGTTTGTCTTTTGCTTCATTTGCTGAGCATCCTTTGTGCCCCTGAGAACGGTGTTCAGGTTCGGGCCCGACATAGCTTAAGCTGGCTTTAATAGCACTAAGAAGGAACGCCTTCGAAGAACGACGGTATGTCTATCAAAGTCAGCACCATCATCATCATCATGATTGTCAATATCGTCACTATTATGATCATCATCACCGTAGGTGATTTTCATCCTCATCATCATTATCGTCGTTGCGACTTCGGAACTTAGATGTGTTTAGCTTCTAAAGCTTTTAGCTCACGACTCTTGAATCGGAAGCAACAGAACTTCCACGTATGCTCTGATGGCAGCTGGCTCACAACATCAGCATGCACGGGTTTTTCAGGTCAGATAGTCGCTGGGGGTTGTAGCGAATGCACGCATGGCATCCACAATCTAGAAGTAGCTAAGTAGGTTTCTCCCCAATTCCGGACCCCGCCTCTTCCTGTGTCTTTGCCAGGCTGCACAATGCCCATTAAAGTTTGCAAACATGGTTTCGGATTTCGAGCAAGAATACCTGAAACCTCACTTGGGCATCTTGTCTCCGCTGAGCGTTAATAGTTAGCTTTGGTCGCCCCAGCGGGCAGTCAGCAGTTGAGGATTTCGCAATGACGACAAGCCGCCTTGCGCCTGGTCAGAGATTTTCGGTGGAATTCCCATGAATTTTGCTTCGGTTCTGTCTTGCATGCTTCGAACACTACGATCCCCGTGGAGCTTCTATGAGCGTGCCAGCATGTACCTAGGCTTCGACAAAGCTTTAGCGACGATCAACGGATCCATATGTTTCCGTGACATTAGCAAGGTGCGTTTTGTGCTTCTTGAGCCACGCGAAAACGCTTTGTGTTCTTTGGTGAGTACGCGGTGCGTTGAGATCATGCATGCCTACTCAGCCTACTCGTACTTGTCAGCAGCGTGTGGCAAAGAATCATAGCTGCTTACTCATGCATATCGCAATATCTGATGTTGATTGCAACCACATTCCATGGAACCATGGAACAACGGAGCACCTGGGATCAGTGCCGCAACGGTCGCACTCAATAGTGCCCAAAACGTTGAGAACCTTCATGAACTTCACAGCTGTTCGAGCCAAACCATTGACCCACGAATCTGCAACACCGCCACAATCCGCGCCAGGGCAGCTCTGCTCGACGCACACCGGCCACCAGAGATGCTCCGTTCCGTGACTGTTTCAGGTTCAGTGAATCTAATCTTTCAGGAAGGTTTGATTTCTCGGTATTGACATCGCCTGAGGATGTGCTTCCGGATGCGACGCTCACGTTGGCTTGTCATATTTTTGAGGCACCATTAGCACATGTAGGGCAAAACGAAGGTTTAGCAACCAAGGTTCCGCCTTGGACGATGTTTGCCCTGGCCTTAACCCTGCTATGAGGGACAGCTCTGATGAGATTTTTTACAACACATGCAACGCTAACTTTTCGGAAAACCATCCAGTTGTGAAGCATCAAGCTCAGGGAGCCGGGGCCGCTTCACGGCAGGGAGGTCCACAGGAGGTTGGCTTCAGGCAGGCGAGCAGGCCTAGGATTCGGCCGGTGTTGGCCCTGAAGGCCTGCAGGTGCCACGAGCTGAATGTCGACCTTTCCTTTAAGACTCTAAGGATTCATCAGGATGACCGCAAACCCCCAGGCTGCCATTCGCAAATGTTGTTTGAAGCCCTTCCTGTGTGAGTCCCCTTTGCGAAGATATTTGCCTTTGCCAGTGCCTTTTTCTGTGGTTTCCATGTAGTAGCCGCCTCCACGCCTCAGGTTTAAGCTTGGTTGTGCAACCGGTTGTGCTTCCGGCCGGGTTTTTCCACTTCACCGTTCGGTTTGCAGCAAGCTTGAATTAATTTTCGAACGAGAAACTATCATGCTGGCAGAAATCGTACATGGGGCCGCTACTCAGCCGGCTCAGTATTTCCTCAGGTCTCCATGCTCAGCTGGTGCTGACGCGGCAGGGGCGAGAGGATGTGCCGAGCTCACGCGGTTTACATACAGATGTGGGACTACAAGAAAATGCTCCAGGATTATACAGTCACAGTCAGTGTCTTGTGGCATTAACTGGTAAACAAACAGAGAGTTTAACTTAACATGGTTGAAATGTACTCTGAGCTAAGTTGCACCGCACCTAGCCCCCCCAAAACCTCGGAACTCGGAACCAAGCCTGAGCCCTTTGTCACATCCTGAAAGGTACCTCCAGCAAGGATGGAAACCACCGGTTACCGACGCCCTGAAATGAATGACACTTCCCTGGTCTATGGATAGTGTTGCTCCGCTCGGCCGTGAGCTAAAGAATCCTCGTCGCGAGTCAGACTTGCCATTAAGTAGCGGAAAGGACGCAGTTGGAGTACAGGGTTTGGTGTTAAGGGGTTGAACCACTTTCTAAATCGGGGTCTAGATCGTACGTCCTCGCAGCTCCACTCCAAGCACCCCGATGCTTGAGGCAACACATAAAGCCAAAGATATGCTCTTGGCCTGGCATTTGCATCCCTGAACCCTAAGCAGCCCGAACACCCTAAACCCTCGTGGTAGCAAGGAGAGGGGCGTATCACGAAGAGTATTCCCCACAGTCCCTCGTGGCCCTAGTGTAAAACTACAGTAGAGCATAGTTAGCATACCCCGACACCCCATTCCGATCATTATACGGCCCCATCTGGGAGGTTCCGAAAATAGGGAACCCTACTTTAGCACCCAAAATAGTAGGATCCTTATTATAAGAACCCCAAAATAAGCTACCCCGAATTTGCGGAAACTCCCATTTTTGCTTCAGGCCTAGAAACCTACGCGACACACTTAAAATACTTGCTGCCAAGGTGTCGGTGGAAGACTTCCTCCGTGGTGCGCCAGATCCCCCAGAGGCCTTTCAGAGCTTTTTGGGAAGGGACGAGGGTTTGGGATTTAGGTTTCAAGGTCGTTGGGGGGGGGGGTTAGGGTTTAAGGTTCAGAATTTCTTCGGAAGAAAACCCAAAGCTCGTGCCAACTTACTCGCCGAAAGCTGCATCTAAAAGGCCCAGTCTCTGCCACGTTTGGTCATGGCGGATTAGGTGATTAGGGTTTACCCTAACCCCAAATAACCTACCTTTTCAGGGACTTATATAAAGAAATCATATTAGGGGGCCCAAAAAAATAGGGTCCGTAGGGTCCAGGTAGGGTCTAAGGTTTGGGGGTTTAGGGGTTCAGGGACAAAGGAGCCGTTTGGAAACATCTTGCATACATATCCCGGGTCAATCTGCAAGGCTGTGCCCCAAATTGGTTCGCCCCCCAGGCAAGCTCTCTTTCAGCTCGGGATACAGGGCTTGCTAGAGTTCGTAACCTTATTCCTAGGTTTCGTTCTTCTTATACTGAAATACGATGTTCCCAAGCCCCATTCTACTTATTAAGGCCTCAATGTTTTTCAGTTTAGGGTTCATAGGATCTAGGGACACCCCCTGCCTACCCGAAGCAACATAGCCCAGACCACTGCGACCATGTAAGCTCGACACGAAGCCAAGACTCGAACAGCTGCAAACCTGAGCTGTTAATTTCCTGCGGGTTCCTTGTTATATTATAGGATCCTTAAGGGAGGGTGGTTCAAGGGGGGAGGGTATAAGGAATCCTTAGGGGACTGTAAGGGAACCTGAGGGAGTACTAGGGAGAATTAGGGATCACTAGGCTATATACCCCCCTTGGACCCCCCTCCCTTAAGGATACTGCCATTTTAGCCTAACCTACCCGAGAGCACGACTTAGAATCTTGGTCATTGCCGGCTTGCGCCCTGAGCTCTGTACCCAAAGCCCCAGAACCCTCAGGCCCCCTAAAGCCCCCTAAAGCCCTAAACCCCAAATCCCAATAACAGCCCTAAACCTAAAGCCTTAAACCCTATACCAAAAAAATCCTTAGGCCCTCAAGCCCTAAACCCTAAACCCTAAAAGCAACAAAAAAAACAAAGCCCTAAACCCTTAAAACCCAAAAAATCTTAAGCCCTAAAGCCGTATTATAGATCCCTTTAAGAAACCCTTATATTTTTGCTTTGAAGGATCCCTTATAGAGCCCCTAAACCCGATTCACAATACCTTTTGGCAGGAGCGGAGCGCATGAGTCCCAGTATGAGACTTCTGGGATGGACATCGAAGTGGGTATACGAAAGCCCTGCAGAGGTTTGGGCTTTGGGTCTAGGGATATTAATTAACCCTTGTAGACTCATAGAACTCTTCGAGGGCACCTTGTGGGAGTTTCCGGAAATCAGGGGTACCTCCTCTTGGGGTCCTTGTAATAAGGATCCTACTATTTATGGTGCTAAATTAGGGTCCTCCATTGTCAGAAACTCCCTTGTAGTAACCTTCACAGAACTCTCTTTAAAGGTACTTGGAGGGGCAGGGGACTTAGTAAGTAGGTTATAAGTAGAGTTGTAAGTACACTAAATGGACTTACCCCAATGATAACCCTACTTATAACCTACTTACTAAGTCCCTTGCCTCTCTCCAAGTACTAGATCTAAAGTCTTGTAATAGTCCCTAATTGTTACTAGGTAAGGTTCTGGCTGGGATAGCTTTCAAATGCCCCCGTATTGTTTCAGGTACCTTATAGGATTCCTAAAGAGGGTTTCCTGTAAGGGTCCTGTAAGGATTACGTGGTCATGGCCATGTCAAACACTCGTAGTAACCCTTTTGGGACTCCTCAAGGGTACCTTACAGGCATATGGTTACTAAACAGGTTTCGCTTAAGGGTTGTATAAACAAGGGCTACTTGCATCATGGCACTTAGGAACTACGGTTATGATTAGGTTAACTGCTTACAGCCACGGATTTGCTTAGTCCCATGATCCTCCAAGTAACCCTTATAGAACCCTGTAGCGGAGCCCATTCAGGAAACCTATTCAAATTACTTAGGCCCAAAGCCCACCGTAGCGACAGAGTGGAAGGATTTAGGGCTTAGGGTTACGGGGAAGTGTCGCATCATCTGGACACTCTTAGCCTCTGGTCTGTTTGAGGTTTTGGGTATGATTCCATCATGTTCCATCCAAAGATGTCTGGTTAGGGTTTACGGTAGAGTTCCATCCAAAGATTTACAACCCCAATGACCGTGCTTGTAACCACGCAGGGATTTAGTGTTATGAGAATCCTAATTGGCTACCCTACTTGCGACTCTACTACAGTCTACCTGCCAAGCCCGCTGATCCCTGAGTTGAAGCAAGCTTTGACCGCTTGTAATCCGCATAATGAAAACTATGAAATAGAACCTCCAGGAAGCCCCATCAAATACTGTCAGCTGTATATAAGCCCACACTACCCTGTGTAGTCCAATGAAACCTCTTCCGGTTGCACCGAGGTACGCAACGCTCAGCAGCTTCTTCGTGAGTCTGAAGCTAAGCTTTCTGGTGCCTTATGGGTTTGGCCCTTGGGTTTGTGGTTTATGGCAAACCCTAATCCCGAAATCGTAACCCCTTAAATTCTAAACTTCTAAACCCTGAACCCCAAATTGAGACTCGGGGGTGTTCAGGGGGATCTCAGATTTTGTCGTGTGGCGCTTTGTTTTCTCTGGCTTGGCCTGGCTTCTGCGCAAGCTTTCTGAAGCCAAAGGAGTGCTATAGCTTGGTTCTAGAGTACTTACCATAGTTGAATAGTTGACTACATGGTTTTTGGACCTGTTGCATAGCGGAATCAAGAGGAAGTAACAGCCTATGCTTTTCTCCCTGTTTGCTTCAAAGTCCAGAGGGTCTGAATGACTAGTAAAGATATCACCTTATAGGCACTATAACCCTAGGGCTCCAAGGACTCATACATTATGGCTTTTGGGCCCAAAGACCATACTGTATAAGGCTTTTGGGCCATTTTGATCCCCGGGGGAATATCCCACCCAAACCCTATTTCGAACTTCCCAGGCCCCTCTACTAACCTTCTACAACCCTTGTAAGGGAACCTTAGAATGCAACCTTATTTCGAACCTTGTCCTCCGTATTCTAGTCCCGTCTGCATGCATGGCATTCTGGCTTCATCAGGCACCTCCAAAATCCAACTACCCCCTAGACCCTAAACCCCTCAACCTTAAACATCCGTAAACCGATGCTACAAGCTGCCCGTAAACCCACAGCCCTGAGCCCCTAGTATGGTGTCTTTCTCTTCGAGACCCATTCACCCTCCTCGGTTCTTGTTAATGAAGTTCATGTAAGTTACCGCAATTAGAGTGTATGTCTTTTTTTGTGGTAACGTAAATTAAATCCTCTTAACCCTAAACCTTAGAACCCCTAAATGAAGTTAGTGAAATATTAATGATGTCATTTTGCTTGGTCGTCCATAAAGCAATATTACGAGACCGTCTCATATTTTGAGGTCCTCCTCCCATTCCGGCCGCCGTGCAATACAATTGGCATTGGCGTTCCGTCTTCTGCTTCCCACCAAAAAATTTGTCATTTGAGCAGATCATTGCTGCTGCAGTCTTGCAGTCCTGCGAAATTTACGGTGGTACGCCGGGAGCTCTTCCCATCATTGCCGGAGTCTCCGTCGGAGGTCAGTATGTTCGCATTGACAGACCAGCAAGCACGTCGCAGAATTCCTCGAAGGTGGACCCTTTTCAAGGTGCATGTCGCGTATTATATACAAGGAATGTAAGGATCCCAAGGTTAAGCACCCATGGTTTCAACCTTAGCCCCCCTTAATGTGAACCACTGAGTTTGAGCCCTCTTGGTTTCAGGCGCCCAATATTAGGATCGTGGGTTTGGGGCTTTTGGGGTTTACGTAGGGTTTAGGGCTTGTAATGGGTTTAGGGCTTTAGGGGTTGAAGCTTTATTCGAGTTTCGGTGAGTTTATGATTCTCAGAGGTTCTGAAGTTTGATTAGGCATTTTGATCGTCAGGGTCCCATCTTACCACCATAGAAGCTTAGCGAACTACCCCGGCTTCCGTTTTGCATATCCCACAACTCTCTTCTCATTATTCGGAAGGTATATATTAAAGCGCAATGAACCCCCCACGTATCCTTCAGTAGAGCCCTAAATAGCGGGTATTTCAGGTGTAGTAGACGGTATAGAGCCCGTTGCAGAGCAGCTAGAGGAATCCCGTTCTAGTTATCAAGACCTCTGCACTTGGAGGAGCAGGGGACTTTGTAAGTATGGTTATAAGTAGAGTTAAAAGTACCTTAAATGGAGTTACCCTAACTATATCCCTACTTATAACCCTACTTACTAGGTCCCCCGCCCCTCCAAGCCGAGGATTGGCGCCCTCACAGCCACAACTGCAAGAGACGAGGAGGAAAAGGCCTGGGACCCCAATCCCACTGTGAAGCTCGGAATCCCATTTTAGGGCTCCGGGTTTAGGGTATAGGGCCCCAGTCTTTAAGCTTCAAAACCGCCTGTCTCTGCTCCTGAAGCCCGAAAGCATTCGCCACCCCAAGCAAATAGGGTTTAGGCTTTACGGTTACAGGCTAGGTTGTTCTTTTTTGTGGTTCAGGGGCTGTAGTTTTTATTCAGCTTTGGGCACGGAAGCGCAATGGCCAACGCTAAAGCTCACATTCATCACCCTAAACCCCAAACCCTAAAGGCCCGAAACCTTGAAACCTAAACCCTAAAGGCCTTAAGCCCTAAACCCGAAAGGCCCTGAACCCTGAACCCCAAACCCTAAAGGCCTTAAACCTCGAACCCTAAACCCGAAAAGCCCTATAAACCCTAAACCCGAAAGGCCCTGAACCCTCAACCCTGATATTCCGAGCCCCTAACCCCGAAACCCCTAATCCCTAAACCCTAAACCCCTAAACCCCTAAACCCCTAAACCCTAAACCCCTAAACCCTAAGCCCTAAACCCCTGAACCGGAGGTCTGGCTCGAGAACCTTAAATAGGAACTCCTGAGATCAAAGGGTAAAAGGAGGGACCCTTAATAAGGACCCCTAGGTATATACCTTTTACATAGCTAGTATATACCCATTATATAGCCCATTATAGGCCAGGGGTCCTTATTAAGGGCCTCCTTTTCCCCTTTGATACACCCTAAACCCTAAACCCTTTATAGAATCCTTATAGATTCAATATTATGAGGCCCCTAGACCACACACGACCCCAGAGGGTCCAATACATTGCCATTATGGAATATGGTCCCCAAAGCATAATAGGGTTGGCTTTTTGGGACATATCATGGTAGTATATACCATCATATGTGGACCTGCTTGCCAAGAAATTCAACACGAAGCCAGAGGCAGCAGAGGCGCCTCAACATGGCCTCACTGCAGGAGACTGAGAAGAAAGGTGCTAGGTTTTAACAATAACTAAATCCTAAACCCTGAGCCCTTAAGGCCAAGCGGTTTAAATTCGCTTTAGATAGCCTGCGCGAGAACTGTTGAAGTTTTTGGGCCATACATATTTGGTCTATCTTGGAAGGTCAGAACCCTAAACCCTAAACCTTAAACCCTAAACCCTAAAACCCTAAACCCTAAACCCTAAAACCCTAAACCCTAAACCCTAAACATTTTTGGGCCTGCAATAGTGCTTCATGGTACTGGGGTTTCGGGCTCACGGGCGTTAGAAGGTTGAAGTAGGGCTCTGGGGTGTGTTGGGGTGTCAGGGTCTTTGGGCTATAGGTCTTTCGGGCTTAAATCTTTTGAGGCTTGAGGGTATAGGTATAGGTTTGTTTGTTTTTTGAAATCGGTACTTTAAGGCGCTTGTCATGAATGAATGGATCAAGTCATTGCCACGATCCACATTCGTCTTCTTTTGTGGTTTATATGGGAGTTTCCGAAAATGGGGGACCCTAATATAAAACACCCTAAATAGTAGGTCCTTATTATAGGGACCCCCAAATAGTGTACCCCTAGTTTTCGGAAACTCCCATATAGTTTCATCTGCCTACGAGCATCATCACCTACTATCCGTGTTTGCGGCAAAAAGCGGGGGTTCACATCGGGTGCTTGGGGAGCAAGACTCGCCGTTCGGACGGGTATTTCCACTCTATAGTTGAGATCCCCTTCAGCCTTGACGAAACCTAGCTGTTCTCATCAATTAAAGTTCGGAAGAACCCTGAAAGGAACCCTTTATAGGAGCCTTGTGAAGAACCCAACACTACGTAGCCGCTTGTGAAGCTTCAAACGAGAAAACCTGCCGGGAGTAGCAATACTGTTCCTTCGGGTTCCTGACCATAAACATGCTGCAAGATAGCCCCAACCCCGATTCAAATGATTGAGGACACCATCGCACACCTTCAAATTAGCCCCTGTTAGATCCGTAATTATAGTATCCTCTACAGACATCTTTAAGGGAAAGCCTCGCAAGGCAACCCTTTTCGAAGTAACTCATAAGAGCCCCCCTACCAGGAAGCCCCTGATCCTAAGTTTTCAGGGTCCATGTACCAAATAGTAAATACTTTGGGCCCAATGTACATACTTAGGGATTGCTTTAAGGCCACTGTATATACTGTCGGGGTACATGGACCCTTACGGCAACGGGCTTGATACACATGGGAAGTTCTTCAAAACGTGATCCCTTTTGAGGGTCCTTTTTAATATGAACGCCGTACCCGTAGGGATCTAAGGACTGAGGACTGAGGACTCCCATTTTAAGGCTCTTGGACCCAAAGACCATACTATATAGCGCTTTTGGGCTAGTTTGATCCCCAGGGATAGGCGGTCCAGCACTGTTTCGCGGTGTATCCAAGGGTAAAAGGAGGGACCCTCAATAAGGACCCCTAGGTATATACCCTTAATATAGCCCATTATAGAGCCCATTATAGGCTAGGGGTCCCCATTAAGGGTCCCTCCTTTTCCCCTTTGAGTGTAGGTTGCTCAATCATGCCCAGGCTGTGCCGTCCGACTGCCTCCCTTGTGCTGTATAGCTTGGGAGGGGCCCCCACCCTGTAATTGTGGTATACGGTATACCTAGAGGCTCCATATATAGTACCACTATGGAATTAGGTCCCAAAAGCCATGATATGGATGGTCTTTTGGGACCTAATTCCATAATGGTACTATATATGGAGCCTCTGGGATAAGAGGAATATAAAAGGAATATAATAGGGCCTTAATATAATCCTTATAGTCACTATTACAGGGTGGTGGCAGCTTCTAAGCTATAGCTGAGGAGCAGTCCGAAGACCCCAAAGTGTCCAAGGTACTGTTATGGGCAATACATTTCAAATCATAATAGTATTTCCTAATATAGAAACCCTACATGCTACTATATGCTTAGGACCCTTAGGGGACGCTGGTGAAAGTTGGTTACCGGCACAATATAAGTCGATGGCACGCAAACAGTTTCACAACCGTTAGGTTTTATCATTCAGCATTTAAGCAAGCAGGCATGCGTGCAATAGCGTGCAAAACCATCATGCCGCGTTCTGGCCTACAACACGCGGGAGCAGTGACTGAGACTCGAATGACTTGCATGTTGTCGCGAAGCCCTGCGAAAAAATATGCCCAGCTCTTCTCAACTACGTGTGTTTTCAGAAACAGCAACAGCAAAATGAGACCTCTCGGTTCGTTGAGTGGAGCTCTACACACCAAAAGCTGGCTTACGGATTCTTCTGCCCCTTACTTTCTGTCGCCGTAGACCTTGAACCCGGAAGCTGGACCATACACCGACAGACCCTACTTGGAGGGGCAGGGGACTTAGTAGGTAGGGGTATAAGTAGGGGAAAAAGTGGGATAACTCCATTTAGGGTACTTATAACTCTGCTTATAACCCCTATACTTACTTACTAAGTCCCCTGCCCCTCCAAGTACGTATCGCGACGTCTGCTGTATACGGTTCTCAACCTTGACACCAGCAGGGGACCAGCCCGACAGAGGAGAGCACCAGCAGACCACCAGGAAACCACCAGGAAACCACCAGGAGACCACCAAGAGACCACCCAAAGACCAGCAGGAGACCAGGAGTGTTAGCACGCTGAGTAAAGTGATTTTATTTCTCATAACCCCGCAATGTAACCCTTAGAGCAACGATTCCAAGTTCTAAGGCAGCTACAAAACATTAGCCAAGGTCATGAGCTCCGAAATACACACTCTACAGCCAACGCCTCCAAGAGCCGTGTGGAAGGCTCTCCCCAGAACCCTGCCCTCAGGGTCCAGAGGACCCAATATTGAGGTATGCGGTTTTAGGATGGTAGTTATGTGGAGAGTATTTGATTATTGGGTACTTGGAGCCTTTTAGGGCTGTGGAACACCCGTCGAAGAACCGACCCGTGAAAGCACTCTGGGATGCATGCTTCCAGATGAGCCATAAGGTTTTCAAACAACCGTTTAAAGAACCCCAGGCTTTTTCTTTCAAGACCCCTTTAAATTTACAGGGCCTTAAACCGTAAACCCCAAACCGGTCAAAGGACTTCAGGGCTCTTTCAAAAACCCTTAGAAGAGCCACAGGCCAAACCCCAACTCCGAGGCTCTAGGCGTGCATTTGTGTTCGCTTCCCCTGTCGCAGAAGCCTCGGTGAGAGGGATTCGAGGGTTTAGGGTGTAGGGTTTAGGATGGGTTTAGGGTGTCCTTTGGGTTTGAGACTTTTTGGTTTAGGAATGTTTCGCATGGTTTCAGGGCTTAGAGAAGTTTAAAGTCGTTTCAACGGTTCAGGGTTTTGAGGGCTTGGGGTTGCATTATTGTTTAGGGTAGGGTCCTGGGCTTTCTACTGAATCAGTGGATTTATTGTCACTTAGAGTATAGACCCGCCCAAGGGTTTGAAACTATCCATGGCAGAATTTGCAGTCCGAAATGCTTCTTGTTGGATAAATTTGGACCAAGTCGTTTAGCGGTGGTAGTATAGCATAACAGGGCTTGGTTGGATCACGTTCTACAGGGTTGTACTCGGGTTTCGGTTGTTGCAGAGACTGGTAGGGCTTCATGCAGTGATATTCGTTTTTATGGTAATGCGCCGCCTTCCCAACTAACCCCTTCTTTTGCTGGGCCGTCTTTTGAGATATACTGTCGCGGAGGCTTGTTATAGAGGAGGTCTACAGCAGTGTGTTGTAATTGTTTGGATTATAAGAAGGGTAGCCCTGAATAGGACACTTGCCACACCACATCTAAGCTGCAAAGGGGTTTGATGTGACAGACACGATAGTCAGATATTCCTTTTGCTGGCATCATCCGCCCACCTCCTGGACTACCCACGTGCCAGGATCTGCAGGCCACTGCCTAATGTGAGATTTAGAAGCTGATGAAGCCCTCCGAGTGCTGATGAAGGACGTCATTTTATAGGATCCTTCAGGGAGGGTGGTTCAAGGGGGGAGGGTATAAGGAATCCTTAGGGGACTGTAAGGGAACCTTAGGGAGTACTAGGGAGAATTAGGGATCACTAGGCTTTATACCCCCCTTGGACCCCCCTCCCTTAAGCATACTACAATCATTCATAATCTCCTGGTCCTGGTGGAGGTCCTGAAGCAGGGAGTCGATGAGGCGATCCTGAACAGGGCTTCGGCTTTAGGGCGCAACTGCACTCATTGGTATCTGCTGGTGCTCGGCTGAAGAAACTTCATGAAGCCTTCATCAAGAAGACAGATAGGGCCGTTGTAAACAAATACCCTGTTTTGTGGCCTTTGCTTGAGACGGATACCTGTAGTGACTCCGAAGCTTAGCTCCCCAATACCCAACCTTTATTAACTTTGGGATCTTATGGTTTAGTAATGATCGGAAAGTTTAGCCTTCTATTTCTGTGGCTTAATGGGGCAGTCAGTAAGAGAGCACCCAGCGGTGCAGCAGGCCCAAGGGGTTCAACGTTGAGGCGAAACCCTAAACTCTCCTTGGAGGGGCAGGGGACGTGGTAAGTAGGTGATAAGTAAGGTTATAGTTGGGGTAAGTCCTTAGGGTACAGATAACTCTACTTATGACCATACTTACTATGTCCCCTGCCCCTCCAAGTAACCCCTAAACCCCTGAACCTTAGATCCCCTAAAACCCTAGACCCCCAAACCCCTAAACCTTAGATCCCTAAAACCCTAAACCCGAAACTCCACATCCCGAAAGCAGTTGGGTGCATTTACGCCCCAGGCCACCCGGAGACGCAGCCCACCTGAAAGTAGTAGGCCAGGAACTTCGAGCATTAGGGTTTAGGGTTTAGGTCATCCCCTAGCTAAAGTATGCTTAAAGGATCAGGGAACTTAGTAACTAGGGTTATTGTTGGGATAATTATACCTATAACTACTTATATCCCCAAGTAAGTTCCTTTTAACCATAGTTAGTAAGTCCCATGGCCCTCCAAGTAATTAGGCAATCGGAGCAGGCTCAGGGGTTCACTACAAACCCTAGACAGTTTCTGGAGATAGATTATAGTATGTTTATATGGGTGGTTGTCCAAATTATGGTCCCTTTTTGGGTACCCTAAATATTAGGTGCCGGATTATAATAAGGACGGAACAATTGTCGGGAGCTGTTCAGGCTCCTATAGTGCTTGGACCTAAAACCGTAAACTCTAAACCCTGCACCCTGAACCTTAAACCAAATAGACCCTAGACACTACACCGTAAACACTAAACAACCCTGCACCCTAAATCAGATACCCCACCCCCCGCGCCCTGGACCCTTCGCCCACATCCCAAACCCTAACCCCTACAACCTAAATCCCAAACTCCACCCTCTTTGCCTTAAGCCCGGCACCCACAATCCTAAAGTCTAACCCCTAACCCCATACCCCCGACGATCAAGGCCCCAACTAACCCTTATAAGACCACTTGAAAAGAAATCCTTTAAATGAATCCATCCGTTTTCAGGTCCCCCATTAAACTCTAAACCGCAACAAACAGCTCCGAGGCCGCAGCTTGCGAAGATGGTGCTTTGGGCGAACCTGCCGGGGGGCTTTGACCTTGGTTTAGTGATTGGTTAGGGTTTAGGGGTTTAGGGGTTAGGGGTTTAGGGTTTAGGGTTTAGGTGATTGGTTTGATTGGTTTAAAGTTTAGAACTTGTGGGGCCTTGTCTTTGGTTTAGGCCCATGTGATGTTATTTGGGTGTGAAGGGTCAGAATCATAGGGAGCATTTGGTTTAGGTTACTTGGGGTTGGGTGTAGGGTGACTTTACGGTCTGTGATCAGCGCTATTTGGGCTTGAAGGGTGTAACATATGACTCAGGGGTTTACGGGTTAGGTTTTAGGCTTTAGGGTCGGGACAAATAGATTCAAACTGGATTTAAAGACAGACGGATAGATGGGTAGCTGCCTAAGCAGGTCGATAGGTAGGTAGACACACAGCTCGATGGATGGATGGATGGATGGGTTATATTCCAAACTACCAGAGAGCAGATGGCGCAAATCGGGCCGCTAAACCCTAAACCTGGCAGGAGAAGATAAAGAGGAAGAGAAGGAGGAGGAGCCCAGTGCCCGCGAGCATCTCGCCGACGGGGGACTCCATCAAGAGGGAGTGGGCTCACTACCATATGTGGGCCGGTGTCTTCGGACACGGACTTGGCCTCAACCCAGACAAGGATTGGGAGCTCAGTGTCAAGCAACTATACCAAGTCGCCGTTGCCCAGAGTGCCTGGGGGAGAGCTTAGGCGACGAGGACCATGGCTACAAAGCCCTTCCGAAGATCGCGCTCGTCTCCGACGAAGGGGATGGAAGAACAGATGCTAATGGCATTGCCTTTCTTTTGTTTCAGCTTACCGATAGAGGGATGGATGAATAGATACTAATGGTATGTCTTCATTTTCGTGTTGTTGTTTTATCGATTTCTGTATCAGTTTATCGTTATGGGTACTTAGGGGTACTTAGAAATAGATTATATTTTTTTGGTTATTATAATCCCTAAGAAACAGCTAAAAGTAGAATTTTGCTAGGGTTCTAAGTTCAGTATAGGTTATTGAGAGTGCCATCCCCGTATTTGGAGGGGCTAGGGTCTAGGAATTTCAAGAGCACTTGGAGGGGCAGGGGACTTAGTAAGTATGGTTATAAGTAAGTTCAAAAGTAACCCTAAGTGGAGTTACCCCAATTATAACCCTACTTATAACCCTCTTTACTAAGTCCCCCTGCCCCTCCAAGTAGAGTTTAGGTCTGCAAGTCTAAACCATCCCAGAGCCCCCAAGAATCCTCCACCCAGCCTTAAACCGCTAAGCCTAAACCCGAATATAAACCCTTGCACCCGAACCCTGACCCATCCTAAAGCACCCAAGTTGATAAAACAACTGCCTAACACCTATAGAGGGATACTATTCTACCTAAGTTGTTGTCCAGGTAGCCCTCAAACCTGCAGAAAACAAGGTCTGTGTCGCGGCTGAGGTGCTCGGGCATCATGGAAAGACCCCCAACCCATAAATCCTGTACCATAAATCCCTTATCCCTAAACCTCTAACACCCATGGGCTGCACTTCTACCCACCATCACCGTAGCTGTCAGTCCCGAAGATAGAGCTTTAACAATGCAGCTATAAAAATCCTTCGCGGTTGCTCACATGGTCTTTCACAAGTACTCCAACGCACCTTTCTACTTGTTTTCGGCCACTGCTTTACCTCAAATGTTAAGCCCTAAACCCTAAACCCTGCTAGAAGCCCTAAACACCAAGGCGGTTGAGGCCACCATCTGCCCTAAACCCTACCCTAATGCTCCGGTTGATGATATATATATATATATATATATCCTGCATTACCTTAAGGACCCGAAACTACGGGAATTATGGTATACTCCTTTTTATGGGTAATGCAGGATTTACTTCATCAACCGTCCTGGACCCTCGTAGTGATCCCAAACCTTAGCCCCCCAAAGCCCAAACCTTCGCCTACAAAGCCCATGGTCCTCTTAGGAGCCTTAGAGTAGTTACTAAGTCCCATGATCCTTTAAGTAGACCCTAACCCCCACCTTATAGAACCCTTACAGATTGATTGAAAAGAGCCCTTCTAGAACCCGTATAGATTTCTTGTAAAGAGCCCTCATAGAACCCTTACAGATCCCCTTTAAAGGACCCGTCTGGAACCCCAAGACATCCCTTTTCAGCTGGAAGGCTTGGCGTGGGTGGCGCAGCTTTGGCTGTCGTCAGCGCCTCGAAAGCTTCTGCGTTTGGACCTTTAGGGTCTCCATTCCCCCGTAATGTATACGTTTCATGCATTTACATCTATGGAGACTATGGAGAGAGAGAGAGAGAGAGAGATATATATATATATATACGTATGTGTATATATATATATATGTATATATATATATATATATATATATAGAGAGAGAGAGAGAGAGAGAGAGAGAGAGAGAGAAAGAGAAAGAGAGGGCGGGCGATATAGCTCCGCGGACCTCGGCCATCGTTACTGGGAGCTGGTGTGCGAGCCACCAGTGCTTTCTGAAAGCGAGAGCGGCCCTGGACTAAGAGGCCGATCCCTACGGGTCCAAAGTACCTATATGGTAGAATGTAGGGTTTCTATATTAGGAATTACTATCATGATTTGGGGAAGTATCCCCCATAACAGTACCTAGGACCCTTTGGGGATTGCTTCGAGACTGGGCGGCTTAAGGAGATTGACGTTCTGCGTGAACCGAGGATGGCCATCGACAGCCATCGGTCACTCCGTTGTCTAGGTACCTCCTGCTCCTGTCCCAAGAGTGGGGCACCGGCATCTACGTGTGTGACGTGAAGGATGCCTACCTCAACGTGGAGTCTTTGGGACGACTGCAAGGGGAGACCCTGAAAGCCCTGCTTGAAGAATCATGTAACTAGGGTTCCTTAAAGGCTCCTTAAAAGGGATCTACGAAAGTTCATTAAGAGGGGTTTTAGGGTTACTTCAAGGATCATGGGACTAGTAGCTGGGGCCATTATTAGGGTAACTGTACTTATACTTACTTATATCCCCACGCAAGGTATTTTCGTTTACAACCATACTTACTAAGTCCTGTGGTTCTCCAAGTGCAGCACTCCTATGAACCCTAACCCCTTACTTAACTTGAACCCCGAGGAACCTCTCATTTTGAGGTCTTAACATAAGGAAATTCTACGGGTGATGCCCCCAAAAATGCAGATTTAGTCCGGTCCGGGTCGGCCTCAAACCCTGCTGTCTGGTGCTTAGTAGCCCTAAGGGTCCAAAGTACCTATATGGTAGAATGTAGGGTTTCTATATTAGGAACTACTATTATGATTTGGGGAAGTATCCCCCATAACAGTACCTAGGACCCTTTGGGTAGGGAATGGGGGAATGGATCCCTATAGTAGCCCCTATATAATCCCCAATAAGAGTCCCCATAACCCATTCCCTATTAAGAACCAGACAGCCTAAGCCGAATTACGACCCTTGAAAGCTTCAGGTGAGTGGTCTGCAGTGCTTCCCTCAGTTTGGGGGCTTAAGGGCTTCGGGTTTAGGACGTAGGGGCTCGGGGCTTGAGATTCAGGGTTAAGTGAGGCTGAACACTTGCAAATCCGACAGTACTTGGAGGGGCAGGGGACTTAGTAAGTAGGTTATAAGTAGAGTTAGAAGTACCCTAAATGGAGTTACCTTAATTATGACCCTACTTATAACCTACTTACTAAGTCCCCTGCCCCTCCAAGTAGGGTTTAACCTGGAAGTCTGAATGGTCAGCAGAGACCCATTAATTACAGGCCCTTTCAGGGTTGTATACGAGGTTTTTAGAGGTTCCTCCAGGCTCTACCCCAAGTGTAGCGTCGCTGCCCATAAAAGGATGCCTCAGGAACTGCTGCGGCGACCTGTTTGGTGTTGTGCCTATAGTGCATTGGCCAATAATTTATCGGCCATGTTGCACGCAAAAGGCTATCGGGTTCCAGATTGCCTCGTGTCTCCTTTTGTTCCCCAAGCATCCGTAAACCATAAGGCGTAAACTGATCCTACGAAGTTTGAACTTCAAACTCCCCGGCGACCTAAAATGCCGAAGTCAGCTGACTGCAAACACATGTATATCGCTTGGGTACGGCCTGCACTCTGTAAGAGTTGCATAATACTTGCAGTGCAGTCATATATATATATATATATATATATATATAGCCCTTAATCCGACCCCGAATATGGGCTGTTGCAGTGTCGGGGGTGTCCACGGACACTGATTTTGCAACCTACTTTCATCGAGACGCTTAGGGGGGAGGTAGGGTAGGGGCCTGAATGCCCAAAATAAGGACTTAATGGCCTTAGAAGAATAGTCGCCTACCCCCTCCCCCAAACCCCCTAACATCACCCATGCTCCTTTGACCTGGCCAAAGACCTCGTTTGCAAGGAGGCGTTTGACGCCTCACGCCTCGGCAGCAAGAGATCGCCTGGAGCAGAGCTGGTGGCGGCTTCGGGGTGGAGTACCTCCCCGTCCGCATCGTACGGTTTAGGGTTTACTTGGAGGGGCAGGGGACTTAGTATGTAGGTTATAAGTAGAGTTACAAGTACCCTAAATGGAGTTACCCCGATGATAACCCTACTTATAACCTACTTACTATGTCCCCGGCCCCTCCAAGTAGGGTTTAAGGTTTAGGGTTTAGGGGAGCAGCTGGGGCTTCGAGCAAAGCTCTACTCGGTCCTCTTCCCGGGCGCTCAGAAAAGCAATTTCAGCAAGCAGAGCTCCGATCTCTCAAGGGTGCTGCACCCCACAGTAAACCCCATAAAGTGGGAAACCGGATTAAGGCCAAATAGTGCTGGGAACCCCTATACATTACTCTTAAGGATTGAGGCTATTGGTTTTCCAACTTTTGGGCTTCTTTTGTAAGACTCCGCATAGTATACACTTAGGCCTTAAAAGGGGTTCCTATATGGGGTGCTCTAAGGCTCAAGTATGCAGTATGCCATAAGGGTACTTGGTGCAATAGGGTTACAGACAAAGATCAGGATGTCCCGTAGCCTTGATCTTCAGAAGCCCTAACCCTAAAACCCCAAACCTTAATCCCTAAACCCTGCCTTAAGCCGGAATAACCGGAACCCTAAACAGGTAGGTTATTCCGGCTTAAACCCTAAAACCCCTAAACCCTAAAACCCCCAAAACCCTAAAGCCTTAAAGCCCAGGTATCGCGAGCCATTTGTCAGCCTGGGCGATGCCCAGCGCAGCCTGTCGTTGGCCCAGGCTTCTGGGTGGCTTTCCGTTGAGAGGGTATCAATTTAGGGACTCAAAAAGCACATAAGCATAAGCATTTTATGGGGATATCTCTACCTTATGGGGCTCCATTATAAGGGGGTCTATATGGGATATCCCTATCCCAGCAATTCTGGAGTAGTGTCGGAAAGTCTGTGAAGCCCCGAACACTTTTTGGTAAATGCTACCCCAACACCTAAAAGCTCTATATCCTAATTTAAGCCATAAATAAAACACCTGTAAGCACGATAACCCTTATTAAACAAACCCTATTAGGCCTAAGTCCTAAACCAAAAGCCTAAACCCTCATATCGTTCTGGGTTCAGGGCTTTTGGTCAGGCTTTGGGGTCTGCATAAGGGTCCGCAGAACTTAGGGACAGTGTAACCGCACTGATGCCTCATGTTTCGCACCATGATAGTGCTGGTTGCAAGATTTGGGGTTTCACCTAAACCCTAAATTCCGGCGGCTTTGATGCGCCCTTAAAGCCCTAAATCCTAAACCCAAAAGCCCTAAACCCCAAACCCCAACACCTTAAATCCTAATTTTAAACCGTTAAGGCCCAAATCCTTCAATCTCAAGACCCTAAACCCTGAAAGCCCTAAGCCTAAACCCCCTAAACCCTAAAATTTACACTTTTACAGGGTATAGTGTTTGGGGTTTACGGTGTAGTGTGTAGGGTCTTTAGGGTATCCGGCTTGGGTGTGAAGTTTAAGGCTTAAGGGTTTGGGGGTTTGAATAAGTTAAGGGTTCAGGGTTCGTCGGTTTAGGGTTTAGGGCTTTTAGGGTTTAGGATTTAGGATTTAGGGTTTACGGGTTTAGGGTTTAGAGTTCAGGGTGCGGGGTTTATTCTTTGGAGTACCATACTTGAAGACCTTTGTGGGGGACCTGTTGCTCAATAGGAGCCATTTTGAAGTACAATCTATACGTTTTTGTCCCTGGTTACTTCAAAGCCCAGTTTGGGGTGTGGGCTTAATGTTTAAGGTTTGGGGCTTAGATGGTTTAGGCTTTAGGCCTTCCTCTACCCAAACCTAATATGTTGTAGGTTGCTTGTAAGCTTCATATTTGGGTTGAGAATCAGAACCTACCCAAAAGGTAGGTCATGGTAACTTAAGGTTGGGGCTCAGGGTGGTTATGGAATTCAAGGTGTGTGTGTGTGTGTGTTTAAGGGTTTGGGGCTTCGGCTTAGAGGCTTAGAGTGTTTACAGTTCAGCTGTTAGGGTTGAGGGGCCTACCTTGCGTAATCGATGGACCTGGAACAACAGAGGTGACCGTACAGAGAAGTTACAATCCCCTCCCTCTTTTGGCACCTTGGTTAGATGGTTTGTCGGTTTGCTTGCTCCCCAAAGAGCATACCTTGTGGGGTTTCGTAGTATATGATTCGATTATACAGATCATACAAGTCTAACTCCCCAAGAAAGCAGCTTACCTATAGGGTTCAGATTGGGCTTAGAGAGAGGGTTTGGGCCTTGAGTTAACTTGGGTTTAGCATTTCTATGGCTAAGGGTCAAAGCCGGTGTTTGTACGGTTTAGGGTTTGGGGTTTAGGGTGTAGGGTTTAGGGTTTAGGGCACGACGGTGTCGGAACAGCTCGGTGTTTGAGGGCTTTATCGTACTCACTGCTGACATGGGCGAATGCTTCTCGTCATTGAGGCACAGGAGCGATTAGCAGGACCCAGCGGACAGTGCAATGCAGGACCACACCACTTGGAGGGGCAGGGGAACTCCATCTAGGGTACTTATAACTCTACTTATAACAGACTTACTAAGTCCCCTGCCCCTCCAAGTAACCCCTCAACCCCTAAACCTTAAATCCCTAAAAAACCCCAAACCCTAAGCCCGAAACCCTAAACCCTAAACCGAAAGCAGTTCTCTGAATCCACCAGCAGTCGAAGAGTCGCAGAGCCTGAAGCGCAAAAGCTTTCGACCAGTCTTCATCTCTTACGGAGCCTCGCCTGTGTATAAGACAGATCTACACCCTAAACCCTAAACTCTAAGCCCTAAACCCTAAAACCTAAACTCTAAGCCCTAAACCCTAAACTCTAAACCCCTAAACCCTAAACTTTCAACCCTAAACTCTAGAAGCCAGAAAGTTGCAACACTGATTTCCTCTTGCTCTTAAAGGTAAAGCAGAGGGATTCCTGGCGCTAAGCGTCCTTGAGCCCTGTTGCAACCTTGAAGGCCCAAGGGACTTAGTAAGCAAGGTTTTAGGGTTTAGGGTTTAGGGTTTAGGGTTTAGGGGTTAGGGTTTAGGGTTTAGGGTTTAGGGTTTAGGGTCAGGAGACATTTAGCCCCAATTTTAACCCTACTTGCCAAGCCCTGAAAGCAGAGAGCCTTCATGAACTTGATTGAACTTCATTGCTGGAACCCTGAACCCTAAAAACCCTAAAACACTAAAGTCCTATAGCCCCAAAACCCTAAAGCCCTAAAGCCCCAAAGCCCCAAAACCCAGCACCCTAAATCCTAAACCCTACCAGCCGATGCAGGCAAACAAAGCGGTGCCGCAGCCTTAGCGGGAGGATCCTCGTGGGTTTAAGGGATTTTGATTTTGGAGAGTTTTGGCTGTTCTTGCAGAAGCCTAAATACTTAGCATTATTATTCCTATATAGGGTTCCTTATTGTATTTTTAGTTTAATGTACACCAAAAAGCCCTGTTCTAATTATTAAGGCCCCTACATTATCTCCTTATAACGGCCCTTATAGCAGCCCTTATAGATCCCTTTAAAGGAACCCTGTTCCAACAATTAAGGCTCTTTGGAGGAGAATGGGACTTATAGCTCAGTAGCTGAGTACTACTAACCTTTTAATCAAAAAGGTTAACCTTTTTTTATCTAGGGTACTCAGCCCCGAAGATAGCAAGTAAGGTGATTAGGTAACATTTATGAGTAAAGTTACCCTTTTTTGGAAACCCTACTAGGTCCCATGATCCATTAGTAAACCGAACCCTAAAGCCCTCGGGTTCTCTGGGGATCTTCCCATGAGAGCATCAGCCGAGGCGAGCTGCGAAGCTCGCGTTGAGCGCGCCGGAGCGTGCGGTGGCCCAGTGCTGTCATTAACAAGAGTACAGGGTTTCCATGAGGGCAGCACTCCTGGGAACTTTAGGCCCGAAGCCCTAAGCCCTACGTCCTGAGCCCTACCGGAAGACACTAAACCCTCTGTTTTCAATTTTGTTGTTCTCCACCCTACTACGGAACTGATCTCAGGACTTAAATAAAGGAGCCTATGCTTGAGCTTGAAAAAATTGGTCTTAGGACTTAGAAAGGAGCCGACGCCCTCGATTTACCACCAAAAGCCGTGGGATCATACAGGACTTCGAGCTCGAAGACAGATATCATGGGACTTAGTAAGTAGGGTTTAGGGGTCACAAGAGGGTTCTATAATAGGGGTTCCTTAACGGGATCTAGAAGGGTTCTAGAACGGGAGGATCATGGGACTTAGTAATGGTTATGAATACCTTATAATTGGGGATATAAGTAAGTATAAGTAGTTACCCCAATAATAACCCTTGTTACTAAGTCCCATGATCCTTTAAGCACGGCACCATACGCAATATGCAGTCTGAATACTTTGGATAGGGTTTTGGGGTATACTCCAGTTTGATTGTGATTGTGATGTCGACCTTGAATAAGAAACCGATAAGTCTGAAAGAAGCCTTTCGGACGTAGGTGTAGTGCCGATTTCAGGGTTTGGTGTAGCCCCCAGGGTCCAAGTACCCAAAAATCATTCTCCCCTACATAACTACTATCCTAAAGCCGAGATTATTGGATCCTTTGGACCCTTGGGGTAGGGTACTGGGTTTGTAAGCAAACGAACATGTACATGTCAGGTGTCAGCTAGACCCACTTTAAGGCATCTGTGTAACAAATGCCAGAGGGGACTAGCGTGTGTGTGTGTGTGTGTATGTGTGTGTGTGTGTGTGTGTGTGTTTGTGAGTGTGTGTGTGTGTGTGTGTGTGTCTGTGAGTGTGTGTGTGTGTGTGTGTGTGTTTGTGTTTGTGTTTGTGTTTGTGTTTGTGTTTGTGGTTGTGTTTGTGTTTGTGTTTGTGTGTGTGTACAATCTGGGGTCTTTTGCTGCAAGTGTTACGGGACACTGAACCGATGTATAATCTTGATCACACACCCTACACTTCAAAAAGCCATTATAATCGGGCTCCTAACAAGGCCTTAAGACTCGTAAGAGAAGGGGATTGAACGTGCTTCCGGGAGCCCTCAATCCCACACCCTATCCCGCATCCCAAATTTATCATCAAGTCACTGGTCCATCATCCTAAACCCCACTTAGGGGAGCATCGGCAGCCTCGTAAAGTAGATACAGTAACTTCCGTTATAGCATGGCACCAGAGAGAGGTCTGCAAACATCAGCAACTGGCGTGGCCTTAGAGGTGTCAGCGACGTACTATAGGGTCCTAAATACTTACCAATACTACTTTGGGGTTCCCTACTGTAATTATAGTATACAGGGCCCCCAAACCCTGTTCTACTAATTAAGGCCCCTATACTTGGTACCCTTATGGATCCCTTAAAGTAACCCTTATAGACCCCTTTAAAGCAACCCTATTCTAATTGCAGAGTCTGGGCCTTGCAGATGGAATCAATTGAAAGCCTGCTGCATGCCTGCAGCCTGCGACAGCGTCCGGCAAATGTGCGCACGGGGATTTCAAGTAAGGCAATTCGCCAAGAGACCAGGGTTCTTGCGCCCTAAAACCCTATAGTAGAAGCCCAAGAGTTGGAAACCCAATAGCCTCAATCCTTAAGAGTCATGTATAGGGAATCCCAGCACTATTTGGCCTTAAAACCCTATACCCAACTTCTCGACCATCCCAGAACCTGAAACGCAGGGGCATCCTTGTCATGCAGCTAGCCGGTAATAAGCTCTTATTTTTTATGTGGGTGGTTGTCAAAATTATGGTCCCTATTTGGGTCCCTACCATAATACGGCACCTAATATTTAGGGTGCCCCAAAAGGGACCTTAACACTGACAACTACCCATCTGGGGGGGGCTGATGTTGTCATCCTAAGCCAACTCATGCGACACCGCTCTGGGGCACACCAGCTGCCACCTTCAACCCGCCAGTCGTACTATAGCTTAGCTGTTTTAGGACTTAGGGTTTAGAGTTTTGTGTCTAGAGTTGATCAGGGTTTAAGATTTAGGTTTAAGATTTAGGATACTATCCCTTTGCTGCCATGCACCTTTCGAACGACGAAGACAATGTTGGCGACTCTGGTGCATCACCCGGAGAGATTACCAAAACCCGTAGCGCAGGCCCGTTTTTGGGTTGCTGCCAAAGCCGAGCATTTTTGTGGGGCTTTGTATGTAAACCTTCATACTGACTTTGTAAGAATCACCTAATACATGTGATGTACTATAATATATGTATATATATATATATATATGTATCTTTCCAATTATAAGGCCCACCAATTACTGTAGGGAATAGGGGTTGGTTCATGGTTGTGGCTGTGACCTCAACACTTGCTTCCCTCTTGGGGTTTGTTTCCACTCCGGCAAGGTGCTTCATTGATGCATTTGCTCCTGCTTACTGAGTTCTGAGTCCTACAGGATTTCTTCGGGGTTAAGGAAAAGGAGCCCGCTATGTCTCCCAGTGGGCCCTTTTTCCCTTTTTGCATGTCCCTAAGGTTCCTTTTAAGTCCGATCCTAGTGTACCCTAAGCCCCAAACCCTAAATCCTGAACCAGAAAAGTACCTGTTGACACTTCGATTTCGCGAGTTCTCGGGACCTAAAGCTTTCGGTCTGTATATTTTGCTTTAGGGTTTAGGTTATCACCAAACCTGAAGAGACTCTAAAACCTAGACGTTTATTCCAAATTAAACATGTAAACGCCCTAAACCCTACAAGCCGCAAGCGGCCAGACGCCTTGCAGAAGGTGTCGGGGACCTTTGCGGGTTCGAGTCTCCAAGCATAAGTATGCACATCGCACACACACACATATCTATATATGTATATATACATACGTACATACATACATATATATATACACACACACACTATCATATATACATGCAAACATATGCGTGGTTGTACATGTACATGCTATAATAAGCTGCACTATACTGTTTCTAGTGCACCATAATATACTAGAACAAGATAATACATCATAATATCATGACATACCCCCAGACTCCCATTCTGACTGTTGAGGCCACTCATTGAATCTTCCTAAACATTGAACCCAAGACCAAAGGGTCCTAGGTACTGCTATGGGGGATACTTCCCCAAATCATAATAGTAATTCCTAATATAGAAACCCTACATTCTACCATATAGGTACTTTGAACCCAAACCCTAAACCCTAAACCCTAAACCCCCCTAAACCCTAAACCCTAAACCCCAAGACCAGCAGGCACCGTGTCTGGCAAACGCGTGAGCCAATGGTCCGGCATGGAGCTCGGCGAGTTCGCATGGACCCCTTAAAGGGGGGGGGGGGTGTTGGGGGGGGTTTCTGGGTTTAGGGTTTAGGGTTTTAGGGTTTAGGGTTTAGGGTTTTAGGGTTTAGGGTTTAGGCTTTAGGGTTGAGGGTTTGGGGGGTTTCAGGGTTTAGGGTTTAGGGATTTCTGCCCAGGGGGGCCAGGGATCCCAAACGCTAAGCGCAAACCCCAGGCCCTAAACCCCAAGGCCTAACCCAGTGCCTAGCCCCTAACCTAAACCACAGCGACGGGCCAGAAGTGCCGCGGCTTCTAGTCTTCACGACGACTCTCGCCCGAAAATTGGTTTTCTAATTCTGACAAGGACTCCGCACGTCATTATCGAAGCCCAAAACTCTCAACCAGAAAAAAGCCGACAAACCCAGAAATGCCGACACGATGCGTAGAACTTGAACCTACTTAAGCCTCTACTTCCGTACAGCCCAAACCTAAACCCATTCCTAATGCCCTCGAGGCTGAAGCCTACATCCAAAACCCTGCTATAGCCTGGACCCTAGTACCTAAACCCTAAATTCCTGAACCCTAACCCCCAAAACCCTAAATCTTTAAAGCCTCAACCCCAAACCCCACATCCTTCAAGCCAAAACCCTACGCCTTATATACCCTATGCCCTCAAATCCCAAAGCCTAAAGCCTAAGCCCTATATCCCCAAAGTCGAAGTGGTAGGAGCGAGCTTCCGGCTGAGTGGTCCATCCGGCGCCAAACTGCCGCTGCCGCTGTTTCCTGGTGTTTTTCATATGGGAGTTTCCGAAATTTGGGGGTACCTTATGTTGGGATCCTTCAAGGGTTCCTTAAAGGGATCTATAAAGGTTCTAAAAAGGGTTTAAGGTTTAAAGTTTCCGAAAATTAGGGGTACCTCATTTTGGGGTCCTTATAAGAAGGATCCTACTATTTAGGGTACTATATTAGGGTCCCCTATTTCCGGAAACTCCCATATACTACTTGGAGGGTCATGGGACTTAGGAACTAGGGTTTAGGGTTTGTATAAAGGTACTACATGAGGGTAGTTCTTTAAATTAGGGTCCATTTTGAGGTCCCCAGAATAGTACGGCACCCTTCTAACATAGGGACACTAAATCAAATGGGACCCTGATTTAGAGAACTACCCATCTACTAATAGAGCGTAAGTTTGTTCGGAGAGCTTGGCTGGATGCGGCTGGTGCTAGCTGCTAGTGCTCGTAGTAGGAGCAGTCGTAGCAGTAGCCGTAGTAGTAGGAGGTGGTAGTAGGAGTAGGAGTCGAAGTAGGAGTCGGAGTGGGAGTAGGAGTATAGGGGAGGAGGGGGAAGAGGAGTCGCTGTGGTGGTGGTCGTGCTGATGGTGGTGCCGATCGTGACAATGGTGGTGGTAGTGGTATTGGTACGATCACGAGTCGGGAGTAGAAGCAGCTGCAGTAGTAGGCGGAGTTGTAGTTGCAGTCGCCGTGGCGGCTGCGGTGACGGTGGCGGTGGTGATGGTGTTGGTAACGACAGGAGGTTGTAGGAAGTAGGCTTTGTAGACGGCCGTAAAATCGAAGTGTTTTTCGTCGTGTTAGCCGCGAAGGGGTTGGTGGCGGTCCTCACGACACCACTGCCGAGGTTCTGAATCC